ATAGATTTAAATCGATCAGCCACATCGTAACCGCTGACAGATGAATCGATGGATTTTCTCGTGACAACATCATGTTCTGCTGGGAAACCTTGAGTCCTGGCATTTATGTGGGTGTTACTTTGACATTTAGCAGCTTCCTAAACAAGCACACCCACATCTAAACGTACTGTCAGAAGGTAGCAGCCTTTCCAAACATGTCACACTGCAAAAACTGCAACTTGAAGAACGTCCCAACATACTAGCGCCAGACACCATCAAAAGAAAACAGACAAAATAGCCTCTTTTTTCTTCTACCTGGCAGGAAAAGCGGATTCACCTGTGAGCTGCTGCTAACAAAGGCAGCATGAAGAAAATACAGAGAAATGAGTAACAAAAGATGAGATTTCAGGAAGGAACTTTCCAGTTTCTGGTCAACTTTGCTTAAAAGTGTAACATGTCAAAGTAAACAGAGTAGTTTTGGAATCCAGAAATAAACTAATGGGTAAACATCTCCTGGTGAAGAAGATCTGGATATGTGTCATTCCATCTCGTCCACCCTTTAGCTGCTTGGATGTCGGTCCCATTCGTTGGAGCCTTGTTGAAATAAGTCTCCTACTTTTTTCTGTCTAAATCTCCAGACTTCTCTTCTTTCCCTTGTTGAAGTTTAGGGTGCATAATCCCTCACACTATCTGACACTCCTTACCTCCTCAAAAACACTCCGAAACTTAAAATTAACTCACCCACACCCCTCAAAACTGAATTGAAGTGCACTGAAACAAGCTTAACTGAATTGATCTTATACTTATCTTTTCTTTAACTGATTTTCTTTCTTTTTTTCTTTTTTTTAAAAAATTTAGTTAGCGAAGGACCTTTTAATTTCTTTACCAGGACACTTAAATAGAAGTCGTTTCTGCTGCTTCTGATTTTTTATTTTTTTTTATTTTGTTGATTTATTGAGGTTTAATGAGATATTTTTGGGTGATTCTGATTTGGGTACATTGTGGTTCTCTTCTGTGTTTTATGTTGTTTTTCTTCAACAAGAGAGTTGAGTTAAAAGGGGTTAAACCATCCCTATAATTAGAAGTAGTTTAAAGTGACAGGTGGAGAATTATTTTTATTCCACTCTCTGGTGCCCAAATGAATTTGAATAATTTGAATATTAGGGGCTGATTAGCCAGAGCTGATTTAGCAGCACAATGGGAAGCTACCAAGTTCTAAACTGGGATAAAAAAAAAAAGTAAATAAATAAAAATCAGCTCTTGATTGTTGGTTCCAATAACTCCAGAATCACATCTTTTGCTTAAACTGTGCAACGAGTAAGAGACAGTCAAGGAAGACTGAGACAGAAGAATCAGGACAAATACCTTCAACAAGTGTCTGCCATACAGGTCATTGGATTGACCGCTATTTTTTAATTTAAAAAAAAACTTCTAACATTGAAACTTTGACACACATGGATGAGTTTTTAGAGGTTAAATTGATGACTGAACAGGTTCAAGTAGGAACCAGGAGCTCTGCTGCACCTCTCCTCCTTGTTTCCTGTCATCTCTCCACCGTTACTGATAAAAATCACAACATCCAGCCTCTAAAAAAGTGCTGCTAGATAAAGGCTAATCTGGTGCCACGTTGATGTCACTCCTGGTAATTAGTTTTGAACTTGTAAATGTTGCTCACATCAAAGGAAACTGATATGTCTGAAAGCTCAGATATTAACTGATCAGCCACAACATCACATGTGCGACACTCCCTCCTTCATCTCTCTGCTCCTCACCGGTGCTGATGAAGATGCTGCAGCAAACATTACACTAAATTTAGCAGATTTTGCAACACATCTGGTTTCTCTGCACCTCCCTTGTACTTGGTTTCACATTTGGAACACATTTTTGAGAGGTTTTAGGATGTGATTTGACCTGTCCAGTGAGCTTATTGTCCTGATTTGTGGACTTTCTAGACAAAAAAAAGAAAGAAGAAGACGTCATGTCATGTCAGCCCCATAGACTGCATATAAATATATATACAGCACATGTTTGGCCCAGTCCAGCCCTGCCTGCACATTATTAGACAACTAGTTTTAATGTTGTGGCTGATCGGTATCTGAAACCCAAGCAAACACAGGCACCTCAAATCTGCCAAATACTGTCACGCAAGAAAATTAAAGTAAAATTGAATGAATACGACAACAAGCTCTGCGATAATTCAGTCATCCAGAGGTTCTTTTTCATCACATAAAACTCTCTAAATGTCTGAATCAGTCACTTGTTGGCCTCAGATTGACGTTTTATGGCCAAAAAAAGTGTATTTATCCAGACTTAGATAGCATATGTAACTTTAAATAGTGGAAACTAACTAAATACATTTACTCAAGTAGTCGAGTACTGTACTTGAGTACTACAGAACTCCTACTCCACCAATTCAGAGGCAAATATTGTCCTTTTTTTCTAAAATAAATGTGGCATCTTTAGCTACTTACAGATTTAGTTAAATACACAACAAAGGTATTCTAAAGTAATGTAACAGACTAAGATGAAACTTTATCCATTTCTGCCACTCTGCACTTTTGATGCCAATACTTTTGCACTTTTTCTTGAGCAAAAATTTAAATGCACGACTTTTCTTGTCGCAGTATTTCGACACAGTGTTACTGCTACTTCTACACAAGATCGACGTACCTGTTCCCCCTCTGATAACCGTTTAGATCCACACATTGAGAACGTAGAGGAGCATTGTGCAGCAGGAGGTTTTTAAGTGATTTTTCACAGAAACAGTGTTTTTGCAAGTGCCACTTTTCAAATCCACCGCTGTGGATTTATCCGCAGCCACTTTTCAGCCTAACTCGAAACACCCAGAAGATGAGATTGAGCAACACGCTACGCAAACTCTATTATTGACTTTTTGCCTTATTTTGCCTGCGTGTGTTTGCGGCCCTTCGGCTCATTACGCATTCATGGCTGTCGGTTGCAATACCCCCATTCGCGCGTTGGAAATGCTGTTTGTTTCTAACCGAGACGAAGGCTGTAATTTAGAGCGTTAATCTGCTTTTCCTCCCCGTAATAATGCCTGTGTTAATAATTCATGGATTAATCAACACGTGGGGAATGTGGAAGAAAGCGAGAGACGAGAGAGAAAAGTGACACCGAGCTCCAGTTTCTCAAGAGAGACACAGAAAAGATTGAGACATCCCCGATCGGTTTGTGACACGATTTCATTTATGTTACATAAGTAAAAGGAAAAATACATCACACAAAACCACATTTCCACCAAACAAGGAGAAACAGCAGCTTTAGAAACATCTAGACAACTCAAAACTGTGAAATCTCTTTACATGTCCCACACAACGGGGTGAAATGTCCCTTTAATGGCTTTCGTAACAGTCCCAGCACTCATGACGGGGGGGCCTATATGCAGCAAAGTGTAAATAAAGGCATAAGAAAAAACCTTCTTAGTTCTAAATTGCATGAAATTGCTCAACAAATCTTTAATACCGTGTATCAAATCCTCAAATATCAGGCATGGAAAAGGGGTCGTGAAAAACGCTCACCCCCTTTTTCAACCAAATTATTGTTGTTGTTGGGGGGAAGAAAAAAAAAGAATAATCCTGCTACAGTCGCTGCACACTTAAGCCAACAAAATATGTCCCGTTTCCAAAAAAAAAAAAACACCAAACCAGTTTATGAAATCGGCGCCAAAGAACACTGTGCTTCTCCGAAATGTTCCTGAATTACTTCTGCGATTAGGAAAGAACATCATTTAGTTATGTAACAAAGACGCATCAGTGCAAGCGAAAAGCTCGACCTATTTATGAGGATGTTTTTTATTTATCAAATTGTTTTTTTTTTTGTTGTAATTGAATTAACTGGGGCAGAGTGAACGCGATTTCACGTCTTCCTCTCCGCGGTTCCTTTCGGAAGTCGGTAAAGTGCAATCGTGCTTATTTTCCACGTATGCTGCCAACAAGCTAATAGCAACTCCTAATAAACATGCTAATTGTTGGCTGGTAGCGAACACACTTCCCCCTCTGGAGATGCCGCACGCTGCACATTCATTAACAAAATCTTCCAAAAATATACACATCTGAAGTAAAGGGTTTAATTCCAAAAATGCATCAGCCACAACTTGCTTCCAGCTCCCTATATAGCATTTCTAAGCAGTACAGAAACATTTATTAAATGCTTACACGGGAATTATAGTCACTGAAAATGATGTATATTAACAAACACTGCTTTCAGTTACACTCTAGTGAGATTTAGTAAATGTTTATATACTGCTAATAACTGCTAAATATTAAAAAGTGTCACCAATGCAGCCTCTTTAAATGTACTTTCTCTAAAGCCAAGCCCCCCCAAAAAACAACAGGTTTTGCAAGCAGAGCCCACCTCCCAGCATGAGTAATCGCTTCATAGCGGTACTTTTGTTTTCCTCCAAAGAACAAGCGTCTCGTTCTGCAATCAGCCTCTCCACATCGGCTCTGCGTGGGCCGAGCTCTGACCCCACAGTCCCGACCTTTTTCCTACAAAATCAAAATTAAACGCCCCGCTTGTATGAAAGAGACAAACGAGCGCAGGTTTTGCCGAGCGTGAATCTGGGGATGAATCCCTCGAGGCCCTTTTTGCAAAACTGTAGTCAGAGGTAAGTGAGCTTTAATGCAATACTTGTGCTCCTTGTGCACGATGGTTGTGTCATGGCATGTACATCCTAATGGCAGAAGAAGGGTGTCACCTCAAAACAAAGCACTATGTGTAGCCCTAATCTTCATATCTTCCCTCTGTTTTGTACACAGAGCCTCCGGTAAGCAGGATGAGACATTTTTTTGTGTGTGTGTGTGTGTGTGTCCCTGTTTGCCGACCTCGAGCAGCAAACGATAACCTGTTCCGGGATTAAAACGTCCCAGCTTGTATTTAAGACTCCCGCTGTGCTCACTTTGCGCTCGCTCTTTTCTGCTATTAAGAGGATTTGTTTCTTAATTGGAGACCTGCGCCCCAGCTCCTTCTCTTCCCGGCTCCCTGCTTTTTTCCCTCCGTCTTTATTCCCTGTAGTGAGCCACGAGAATCAGTTTGGGTTTGAGGCTGGCGGCAGCAGCAGCGGGAGTCTGGGGGGCGCCGCGGTCTCGGTTCGTCGGCGACGCGTCCACGTGGTTGGCTCCCTGCGACGACTCGTGGACGGAGTTGGGCGTGGGCATGGCCGAGGACGGGGCGGGGGCCGACACCTGGGGCTCCTTGTCCTGGCGGTTGGTGCGGAGGGTCTTGGTCACCCGAGAAAATGTCTTTAGGGTGGAGCCTTGCTCGGGGGTGGAGCAGCTGAAGAACGCCATGAAACACCTGTAAAACTGCACAGACACACAGAGTCGTTACAGCAGTGTCGCATACTCATCATGCTCCTGTACAAATAAACTGCATTCACAGTCGTGTTTTGAAAGAAATGGCTGAGCAGGAAACTTTCAAAAGGCTACAAATTCCACGTTAGGAAGTTGGAGGACTGGTCCAACTCAGAACACTTTTACACTCTTTCACAACATATCTGAAGCTTCTCCTTCGTTTTCTGATGGATGATGAGTTCGTCCTGCACTCTGAGGAGTAGAGGAGGAACTTTTAGAAGTTTCTTCAGGAGCCGAGGAGTGAAAACGTCTGCAGTGGTTAAAAATGCATCACCTTTATCGTTTCCAGTTTAAGCTAACTATCTTTTTGACCTACGCAGAGCATTATCGCTGTTTTCTTTTCAGAGAACTGCATGCAAGTGCTGGTTGAATTCCCACAATGCTTCACTCTGTGCATGCAAAAAGGTGCTACAACCATAAATCCACCTTTTAATGCTTATTGGTTGACAGGATAATAACGAATCTAAAGAAAGATGAAGATTATTATTTGATTATACTACTACTGTGCTATATAGTGTCATTCTCGTTGTGTTTCCTGTGAGGACGGAGCACTACTGGGGTAACTTTACTTCACAAAATGTATTTTTACAGTATTAGTAAAAATTATCGTGGTAAATAACATAGTACTAAAAGTACACCTTTTTAACCACAGTTGCTCCAGTTGTAAACAACAGGACTTGACTGATCCTGTTCGAAGTTGGAAGAAACCCAACACACACCAAGATTTTTGTCTTGTTAAAAAACACCCTCACACACATTCAATTAACCCAGGATGTGCTGGAAAGAAAAAGGACATCAGTTACTTTCTTATAGACGGAGGTGGAAAGTTTAGTATTTCCATTTTCTGCTACTTTATACTCCATCACACTTCAGAGGCACTTTTAGCTACTTTGCAGATTTAGCTCAATAATACAAAATATAACCAACAAGTACATTCTGATGAACTTATTTGATTCCAGAGGGGAAATTTACAAGCTGCAAAGTGGATAAATATGAATATATAAAGTAGTTAAATCATCTTTATTATAAATGATCCAATAATATACAGTACTTTATTCTCAAATATGCTACTGTGCAGAATAAGTACTTTTTGTACCTTAAGTACATTTAGATGCATGACTTTTTGGCTGTAGCAGAGTAATTCTAGAGTAGGTTCATAATTAGTCAGTGTATGGAAACAGTTATGAAAGCAGTAGTTTGGTAGAACACAGCAGCGGTACAGTGGAGGTACACAGGAACAGCAGCAATAATTGCAGTTCTGTCATTATAAAATAAAGCACAGTTTGACTTCAGCAGCGTTTGGATCCAGTTGAAGAGCTCCTTGTCCTCCACGTCGGGCGTCCAGCAGGCTTCCCCTGGATAAACGTAGTGTACTTAGTATACTCTCCAGTTCCACACGTATACTTAAAGTCTACTACATTTCCCCAGGGAGCCGCAGATCAAACAGGTCGAGCTGCATGGAATATAACACCTCCACACATCTTATTACATCATCAAAGTGCGCAGCCTCCTTCCTCCAGCAAGTTTCCAGCCTTTGAGGAAAAAAGAAAACCACTGATTGATATGACGAATGAGAACAGTTTGTGGCGCTTTATAACTGAGACACTTCAGCAGCCAATTTATCACATATGAGCCAATTAATTTCTGTTACCCCGAGGAAATTATGCAGCTTTCAAAATTAGCTCTCTGTCTTAAATCTTCTAGTGTCTCAAATCCCAGTTTATTAATCTACTGGAGAGCTGCGCCGGAGGGGAAGGAGGAAAGAAAGAAAGAAAGGAAAAGAAAAAAAAGATGCCGGTTTGAAAGTGAAACCCCAGAGGAAACAAAAAGGGCAGATGTGCAAAGTGGGGGTGAGAAGTGAGAAGGAGAAAATGGAGAGGAAGAGCAGAAAAGAGGAGGACGAGCTGACGTCAGGAGGGATTAGAGCTGAGATCAGCCACAGATAGAGATCTTAAGACTGAGGAGTGAGCGAATCCTCAGCTGTCCACTGCAAACCTGCACCAGCTCAAACCAACATGTGACACTGCTGTGATCGCTTGTGTGTGAGAGAGGAAGTCGGCTCTGCATTTTTTTTCTGCATGTATGCAGGGAATTCTCCGCACAAACAAAATCCAGGCTTGCCAATCATAAAGAAGAAGAAGAAAAAAAAAGGCAACAAGGATGCCAGAAAAAAAGGTTAAAAAAGATGGGATACTGCAATGTTGAAAAACTGTAAAAGAAATTAAAATAATAATAATAATAATAATAATAATAATAATTAAAAAAATAAAATCCATAAAATATTATTTTTTAAATACATGAAACCAGTATAATTTTTGTCACACATTATACATTTAAAAAAAATCGTAGTTGTAAAAATATATTTTTTTATTGCTGCCAATATTTAAAGATTTTTTAATTAATTAATTAAATTTTTTTTTTTTTTTTTTTTTTTTTTACAGCCAACATGTAAATTGTTATTTTTCTTTGGTTTTACTACATATTATCTATTATTTAACAAACCTGGAAAATCTGTAATACAACAGTTTAAAAATCTATTTAAAAAAATCCTTAATATACTTAAAAAAAAAAATTACCAGCAATTATTAGCAAAATAACTATATACAGTATAATTTAAATAAAGTTAAAAAAAAAAAAAAAAAGAAGTAATTTTATGTCAAACACTGTAAAAGAATGAATTACCATTTGTAAAAGTGCAGGTTGTGAATGTTATTTATAGTCTGGGACTTTTGTTTTTGGCTTATATTGAAATTAAGAAGGTTTCTGACGTTTCAATAGATATTTTCTACAATTAAACAAAACAGGGAAAAACTGAAATATTACTTCAATCCTGAAAATCTAATATTTTGTTTAAAATGACATCAAATGTGCTCATTTAAATGCATCAGAAATGTGGAATTTCAAATAGTTTCGGTCTGTTTTTTTTATGAGTAACCTGTACGTTTATTTCATTTGATATTTGACTTGGTGTCATTTCACAAAACAGGGAAAAGCTGTAAACTTACAATTTAAAACTGTTGAATGTTTTTTTCCCTTTTCTCACAGTATAGCAATCCTTTTAAAGTGTCTTCTTAATTAGACTTTTATGGCCACTGTTACCAGCCTTTGAGCTGATCTGCTTTATGATAATACACTTTTATACAGTAAATGCAGGCAAAACGTTTGGACACATCGGCTACGTTTCAGGTTTTAGATTCCTCAAAGCAGCCGCTCCGCTCACTAAGGAGAGACGACAGTCTATCACAGACGAAGGAGGTCAGTCAGAAATCAGAGTTTCTTCAAACACTGTGATGAAATTGGCTCTCAGGAGAACCGCTCCAGGAACTGAGAGTTCCCTCCGCTGCCGAGGAGAAGTTCATTAGAGGCTCGCAAATTGTCAGCTGACGTCACCTCGGCCCAAATCACCGCTTCAGAAAGTTCAAGGAGCAGACACGTCTGAGCATCAGCTGCCGGAGGAATCAGGCCGTCACGGTCGAACTGCCGCAAAGAAACAACGACTGAGGGAGTAATGGGAGGAGAACTTCTCAGACCAAGGAGCACAAGGGACCAGTGGAGACCTGGACGGATGGGGCACCACGTTTATACTTCAAATACATGGTATGAATGTGAAGGGAAAAGGGCAATATCTGTCACTCAAATGGAGAAGAAGTATGAGTTGGGTTTTAGGCTATTATATTTGAATCAGGGGTGTCCAGCTTGTTTTTATTAGTTTTTTTAAAGTCCAAAAACTCTTTTAAAGTAACGTTTGTCAAAGACGACAGATTCAGCAGCTGCATAACTTATTTTTCACATCAGATGTTTTCTACTTTTTCTACTTTGAGTATATTTTAATGCTGATATTTGTCTTGCAGGTTTACTTAAGTATACATTTAAATGCATGACAGCAGAGTAATTCTATAGTGTGGTATTAGTACTTCTCCCACCTCTGCTTATGGAGAAGGTTTGTAACGTAGTCAGTGCACAGAGATAGTTATGATAGCAGTAGCTGGCCCCTTCTAATTTGTATAAAGTTGAGATTTAGGCTATTTTATGTAAATCATGTGCATCCAAAATGAGCTGCCACTTGTGGAAACTCCCAGAAAACTAAACATAGGGCCGATTCAGCAGCTGTGTGGCTTATTTCTGGCTTCTGATGTTTCTAGGAAAGCATTTTGGTGAAGCATCTTCACCCAATATCAGCAAAAGTCTATCAAATAAGTGTTTATCTAATCTGGTGCAGCCAGTGTGTGCAAAGGTGTAAGAGGACGTCGCCTCTTTTGGCTTTTAGTCCAGCTGCACGTCCATCATCTGCTGACCTCCACCATCAGTGACCTGATCTAAGCGGAGATGGTTTAGGATGAGTTTGAAGAGCCAACCAGACTTTTGGAAAAGCTCCAGGTGATGAATCACGAAGCGGGTTGAGAGAATAAAGACCTTTCAAAGCAAACAGTTTCTGCTGCTGTGAGGAATCTAACGTATGAATTTGTTTTAATGACGCCTTTTTTCTCTCTACATAACTCCACCTGTGTTGTTTTATCGTTTTCATGTCCAGTTTTGTTCTACAAAGTTGATTATAGTTAAAACAAAGAAGTGTCTTAAGGCAGCTTTATCTGTGAGGTAGGTTTTAATGAACTGTTTCTTAATAATCTTCTCATTAAATTTACTGTAATACGATATATCCAGTGGAGTTTTTCAATATAAAAAGTCCCCTAACTGCCTAGAAACAAAGAAATCAAAGTTAAATCATGCTCTATTCGCTCCAGCTGCATATTGAGTTAGCTATTATATATATTTATAGAAAAATGAATTGAAAACTTCCTTAGTTCGTCCCTACAAATTCACCAGCAGTATATAACGTAAACATGCTTGTAAGAGAGTAAGAAAACCAAAATATCCAACAGAAAGTTGTCATTTTATTTGGAAAAGGTTCGGTATCCTGCCTCCTCTCAGTCGTATATCACTCCTCTCTGACA